GCTACCTCTTCCTGGTTTGATTTCAAGTGACATTTCTATTGTGTGCGTGTATAAGATAAATACGTACATATATATATATATAATATATATATATATATATATACCTACATATATATATATATATACATAAAAAGATAGATATATAGACATGGATACATTAAGAGATAGATCGATAGACATAGATACATAAAGAGATAGATATATAGACATGGATACAGATGGTCGCAAATACGTGTGTGTGTGTGGCTGTGTGTGTGGTGTGTGTTGTGTGTGTGTGTGTTGGTGTGTGTGTGTGTGTGGTGTGTGTTGTGTGTGTGTGTGTGTGTGTGTGTGTGTTGTGTGTCCATGCACATATATTCAGAGAGGGAGAGAGAGAGAGACAGACAGACAGACAGATAGGGAGAGAAAAGAGAGGAGAGACAGACTTACGACAAACAGACAGAGAAAAAAAGAGAAAGGCAGACAGAGACAGAGAGAGAGAGACAGATTTACAGACAGACAAAGAGAGAGAGAAAAAAAAGTGAGAGAAAAGACAGAGACAGAGACAGACAGAGAGAGAGACAGAGACAGAGAGAGAAAAAGAAAACTCGGTGTCCTCCACCGGCCTGATTGACGTGTCTGCAGGGGTCCGCGTCGACCAACTACCAATACTTATCACAGGGAAAATCTATATTTAACAAGCTCTCTTCTTATCATTACTGGCTACTCAAGGCTGCAAAATCACTGGACTAGTATGGCCAAGCGAGAGAAACCCAAGCCTTTACACACGCTGGGACTTTACCCACGTTGATGTTGCAACACTCAAACCTTCGTCAATCTCAAGTAGTGCGTACAACACCCGCGCAATTGCTTTGAGAATTATTATGTATTCATTCGCAGCTAAATCGTAATTTTTTTTCTTTTTTGAAGTCGAACCAAATGCTTTCACACGTGCCTAAAACTCTTTTGCAACAACTACGTGCGTTTCCCCCCTCTTGACTCCACTCCCCACCCCCGACCCCCCCTTTCCGATCAGGTCAGCGTTACGCAGAAATCTCCCAAGACTTGGGGTCATTTCGAAGACAACCTCCCTCATATTTCCTTTTCCTTTTCCTTTCTCGAATAGCCAGTTGAGGGTGAAAAATATCCCCCGCAGTTATTTCTCCTGCGAAACTCTCCCAACTTTCTCCCCGACACGACCAATCCTCGAGAGATATAATCATTCACATAATGAGTGTCGTTCTGACTGTCACGGTGACTTTCGAGGTGACCCCCGCCGCATACGCTCGGAGGGAAGCCGAGCGTATATTCAGGTGATTTGGCGTCTTGCGTGTATTAGTATACCCATGGGATTCTTTTTCGGAAGTATATCAGTGTAATTCTTGCCAGGGAAACCAGTAATGACCCTAGTTTTCGTGCGACCCTATAATGATGCACTGTGGTGAATTTCAGACTATGATGTGGTATGTTCCGCCATTGCTGAAGTAGGTGCAAGTGCAAGGTGCGACTCTATAGTGGTCACGTAAACATATTCATATAGATAGATAGATAGATAGATAGACAGATAGATAGATGGACAGACAGGCAGATATATATATAAAAACATACAGAGAGATAGGCAGATTTATAGATATATAGATACAAATCAATATAAAGATATAGATAGATATAAACAAAGATATAGATAAAGATACAGATATAAACAGACATAGACAAATAGACCAACAGATAGGAGAGAGATTTATGTATTTATATATATGCATATATACATGTATATGTATATATATCTATGTACATATATTTATGTATCTATCTATATATATACATATATGAATATATATATATAATATATATATATATATATAATATATATATACACATGTGTATTACACACACACAATACAACACACATATATATGTGTGTTGTGTGTGCGTGCGTATATGTGCATGTTTATATGTATGTATGTATGTATGTATGTATGTATGCATGTATGTTTGCATGCATGTATTTACGTGTGTGTATATATATATATATAGATAGATATAGATAGATAGATAGATAGATAGATAGATAGATAGATAGATAGATAGATAGATAATAGATAGATAGATAAATAAATAAATAATAGATAAGTGAATAGATAGATATATTGATAGACTGATAGGTAGGTAAGTAGGTTTGTAGGTAGGTAGATATAAAGATAGATAGATTCACTGATAAATAAGTAGGTAAATAGGTAAATAGATACAGACAGAAAGATAGACATAGATAGATAAGTATAAATATAGATATATAGATACAAATAGATAGACAGGTAAATGAAAATAAATATATAAAGAGATAAATGAATAGACATATAGATAGATAAATAGATAGGCATGAAGACAGCCATACACAATTGTTTGGACACTGTGCAGTTTTTCATGTTATTTTTCGTTTGTATAAGATTTACAGAATTGTGGAAAAATATTAACATTTTCTATTTAGTTAATTTTTTGACTTTGTGTGATTGATGTTTGT